TTGTCTTTTATTTTTAAAAATGAAATAAATAAAGTTAAATAATAAAAAAAATAGCAATACTGATAAAACTAATTTCATTTTATTTTTAATTTCTTCATTTTCTTTAATAGAACTTTAAATTTATTCCACTATATGTTACATATTTTAACTTTTTTAATATTAATCAAGCTATGCATAATCCTAAACTAAAATCTAATCGATTTCTTTTAAACTGCTCACCAATTAATAATTTTCTTCTATATTTTAATATAAATCATTACATAATCTATTTAAAAATTCTTCTTCACTATCTTAACAGTTTTCTAATTATTTTTCTATTTCTTTAATTTATTCTTCGACTTCTTTTCTTTCTAAATTTTAATTACTCACATTAATAATTGGTTGGTATCCAGTCATTTTCTCTTTATAAAAACAAACTTGTTTTTCCAAACTTTTTATATATTCCATTTATTCGAAACTACCATATTCTATTTAAATATTTTTAATTATTTTTCTTTTTATATTTGTAGCCCTTTATGCATATGTCAATGTATTTAAAGTCTCATCTATACATAAATAATTTTAAGAAATACACGCAATCATTATTGTTTTCGTGTTTCCACCTAATGAATCTTTCAAAATTCTAGTCAGTTTAGAATCTCTATATGGAATATGAGTTCCTGTAGCTTTTTTTCTATCAGATAATATGTTTATGCAATTTCCTAAGGCTAAAAGACTTTTATTTATATTAGAACCTTCTAATATTCCTTTTGCTATTTATATATATATATAATTATATTTATGTATATATATATTTTTTGTTAACCTTATTTATCTTATGTCATTTTTTCACTTCCTGCTAAATCTATAATTGTTAATTTAGAGAAAATTGTTTCTTCAGGCTTGGAGGCATCAGAGTTTAATTTTTATACTATATTAAATATTAGAATTGCATGGGAACGTGATGAAAATTAATTTCCAAATGTACAGGCTAATGAACGTCTTGAATTTCCTTCTTATATGAGCTCTTGTATCTTTTTATTTTTAAAATTCATATATACTTTTATATATTTTGCTTTTTTATTACTTATTAAATACTAAAAATTTAATATTCTTTTAAATCTTGAACATATATGTTTTTTTTTATAGGATCTTCAATAATATTGAGATTTTTTAAATTATTTTATCCATTTAATAAATCTCTCACGTTTTCGTTATAAATTTCTAAATAACTAAACTTCAGTTTAGTATTGGTCATGTCTATATTATTTAATACATGTTCTATTGCCATATAGCATATTCCCCTATCATAAGGTTCCACTTAATCATTTACTAAACCTCCGTTTTTTCCAAAAATAGTATGTGTTTTCCCCGAACCTGTTATTCCATAGGCGAAAAAAGTGGCATTATAACCTTAAAGAAGCACAGAAAGGGAGGGAAGAACCGAACGTTCAAATACTTGTTGGTTTGTACAGTATTAGTTTAGTATACAGTCAAATTGAAATTACTTTTCTTTTTAATCAATGTATTTGTATTCGGGATCGCTTAATATTATGGTGTCTTCAATTACTTTTACTATACTTCCTTGCTTTTTTTAATCTTCTTGTTAGGGCTTTATACGAACATATACTTAGAAATTTTTAAAATTTTCGATGCTTTGGGTTGTTTCGGATTATTCAGTTTAAAGCATTTTTTTTTTATTTTATTTTTTTATATAATTATTATAATTATTATTATGTTATTTTTGTTTAGTTTTTTTTTTTTTATTTAAAAAAAAAAAAAATGCTTAGTTTTTTATATATGTTTGAAAATTTAAAAGAAATATATATATTAATTATGTAATTTTTATTATTTTCTGTTTTCTTTTTTATAACTTTTTTAAATAAATATACTAATTTTTTTTTAAAAAAATATGATTGCTAAATTTATAATTCTAAATTAAATAATTTATTTTATAAAATTATAATAAAAAAAATGTATAAAATCTTTAATTAACAAATCAAGAAATTTATATATAAATTTTTATTTAAAAATATATAAATATTATTTCTATGTATAAATATGTATAGAATTATTAACAAATAATGTAAAATGATTAACCAAAAATAATTACATTGACTTAAATATTTGAAATTTGTGTTTAAAAGTATTAAAATAAAATTTCAATAAAAAATTAACATAAAAAAAAAGCATTGACAATGATTTTAAAATACGTAATAAAGACAAAGAAACTGTAAGTTTATATTAATAAGTAAAAGATGTAAAAATTTATCAAAAAATATGGGATGAATTAATTAAATGGATGAAACAAGTAACAAGTGATTAATAAAAAATGGTTTTAATATAAAATTATGGTAATTTTTTATAAAAAATAATAATATATATATTTAATAAAAGCTTATGTTGATTTAATATATTTAACTAAATACGAATAACAAGTGTTTTTTTTTATCTTATAAGAACAATTTTTGAATTAAAATAATTTGAAATTTCAAGTAATTATTACAGTTTTTTTTTATTTCTAAAACAAATAACAAAAGTATGAATAAATGAAAAATATAACGGGTTGCAAATAAATAATAAAAATAAATTATTCTTAAATATCTAGAAATTTAGAAACTTAAAAAATCATAATAATATAAATTATTGATTAAATATTTTCCAGAATATTCAATATTCTTTTAGCTTAAATAAACATTTTGATAAACCTGGGAAGCTTAGGTTCTTTAAATAAAGTTTAAAATTAAATAATTGAATATTCTACCCATAATCCTTAAATAAAAATTCGATAAACTAGTTATTAGACAAAAAAGCCTTTAAAAGTTTCTAATAATAAAAGATTAATAATATTACCTAATATAAATTAATAATAAAAAAACTATAAAAAAATATTATTAAATTAAAGTTTTTAATAACCAATAATAAATAATGACCTTTCGTCCATAAAAAATGATGAAAGTATTTGTATCAATAATAATTCAAATATTTTAGATATATCAATATCTCATAATAATAAATTTTTTAATTAAAATAACAATAATTTACCTAAAAATAAAATTATAAGTTATAAATATAGAAAATTTTTCAAACGATATTAAAATAATACTAATATAAGTGTTTTAGATTAATCTATACAGCATACTCTAAGAAAAAAATCTCCTGAAATAAAAAAAAGAAGAAATAATTCGTCTTTAAGTAGATTACTAAAACATGAATATTCGCTCTTAAACTAAAAATTATTAGAAACTAACCCTTCAGCAAGAGAAAAAGAATACTCTTTCTTAGCTAAAGATGCTAGGAAACTTATAAATGCCACTTTTGTAAAACATGAGTTCCCGAGGATTAAATTTCCACCTGTTTTGGACTCTTTTTCAAGAACTATAGGTGCTCCAATTGCTTGTATGTGTCTTAATATGACTCCTAGTTAGAGAATAGGTAGTAATTATACGGAAAGAGCTAGGCTTTTATATTTAGATGAAGTTGAATGGTGTATAAAAAGCCTGAAAGTGAAAGAAAACAGAGTATAGTTTTAAACCAATGATTAGTTTTCGTATACTTCGTCTAGTTAAGGAGATGATTTACTGTATTGGGAATTAAAAATGATGGAAAATAGCAATTAAAATGATGCTTTTTGGGATTTGGAGTAAAAAATAAAGTCTAAATAAATATATTATGAAAGATATTAGACTTATATTTAAAAAGAAATAAGCAAAGACTTCGTAGCTCCTATGAGATAATATTGGATTGATGGAATTTTCAGACTTATTCCCGGTTAGTTTAATCAAGTAAGTAAAATTTTAAAAGGAAAATTAATAGAAGAAATGCTTGGAGAAATAAATTAGTTATACTATGATGCTATAAGAAAGGCTATTTTAGATTACGTATTAATTAGTGAATAAGAAAGATTAAGGTTGGGAATAATGGAAATTTTTGATGAAGTAAGAGTCTATGGGGACTGTTATTTTAAGGGTATTTAAACTAGTGAGTAGTGGAGAGAAAGAGTATAGATGGGAAAATAGGGTATTTTAGAGAAAATTGGAGGGATTTATAGTATGGCCAGCTTAGAGATTTTGTATGTGTGGCATTAGGAGGTTAAAGGAAAAATTCCGTTACTGGAATTGTAGAAAGGGCAGGAAGTTTTGGATTTGGAAGGATTTTTGTAAAGGAATTAAAAGCTTATTTTGTAGGCAAATGATGTTATTAGGGGATAGTGGTGTTCAAAAATAGTGGAGATTTATAAAAAGGTTATGTAGGATAATAAGGGTGAATACAATGAGGAAGATTAAGTTGATGATAATGAGATGTAGGAGAAAAGAAAAAGCTAGTTGTGTCTTTTTTTCAATTAGATAGCAGTTTTGTTGAGTAAATTGGTTAGGCAACATGTCGAGGAGTTTGTAGAGGTTTATTTGAAGCTATTTAGAAGATTTGATGTAGAAGATGTGAGAGATGTAGACGAGATTTTAGAGGAGGAAAAGGTAAACTTTCTATAGTGCGAATATTACGATGTTTTTTTGAGAGTTAATTTAGTCAATAAAGATAATTTTATAAAGTTTGATAATGATTTAGAAGAAATAAAAAGTTAGTTAGTTAATTTACTTAAATAAATGCTTTAAGTTACTAATAAAATGGGAAGGCCAGAACATACTTTAATAAAAAATGAGAAGTAAAACTTATAGTTTATTAATTTAAATGAAGGTGAAGAGGAAAATATATTTATTTAATCTAAATAATATATAGAAAATGTCATAGAAAAAAATATAAAGAAAGTTTAAAATGTTACACATATTTTTAGTTAGTATGAATTTTTATTATCTGCAACAAAAAATGAAGTAAATATATATAAAAATAAGTATATTTATGATTTTTTAAGATTATAGATTTTATTGAAAGAAATCCAAAAAGAGAAGAATATATATAGAAGATTAAAAAATATGATGAAATTCAATAAAAAATAGAAAATTAATTGCCTTTTTTTATTCGAATGAATATGATTTTTGTTGATTGTTCTAAAATAAAAAATATTTTAATATAAAAATGTATTGATATTAAAAGTATTCTTATGAAATGTATTAAAGATTATACTAATAGTTAGGTTTATAATTTAGATTGTGAAATAGGAAAATTAATTTAAGGAATTTCTAAAAATGTAGATTGTACATAGACATTAGTTTAATTAGAAAAGGAAATAATTTAAATAAAAGAAATAGAATAAAAGAAAATTATGACTAAATATTAAAATGTATGCTAATGGATGCTATTTTAAATAAATAAATAATGTAAAATAGAATAGGAGGAATTAAATAAATTATATTAGTTATCTATAAATGTTTTTAAAATGATGGATTAAGTATTAATAAATAAAAAATAATATAAATAGATAAAAAAATAAAAAAATAATATATATATATATATATATATATATATATATATTTATATTTTATATTGTCAATAGGTTTTGTTAGAAGAAGAAAGAATAAAGGAATAAAAATTAATATTTTAATTTAATTTAGATAAATAAAAGGAAAAATTTAATAATTAAATATTATAATTTTTAAATTAAATTGAATGCTTAAATGAATATGGGAGTGTTTATATGTCTTAGGAAGTTAATAATATTATTAATGTACAAAATTAAATACTATAATAATTATTATAAGAAAAAGCCTAAATTAATAATGATGAGGAACTTCTTATATAATATATTAGTGAATTTCCTTAATTAGATGAAACCATTGATAAACTTTAGCCTTATAAAGAATTATGGTGTTTAATATAAAATTTTACATAGAATTTAGGTATTTGGACTAAAGATTATTCTATTTTTAAATTAGATCATGAAATTATCGAAAAAGAAACATAATTAATGAGCCAAGTTTCTTCGAAATTAAATTTCTTTTTTAATCCGCATTTAATAGTAAATAGAAATATATATTTATATATATTATAAATAATAGAAAGGTTAAAACGCTCCTTAAAAATAAACAGGACCATAGAAATTAATAATTTAAATTGCTTAGGGAATAAAAGAATTCCAATATTAATTTTCTATAGTCTGTTTTTTATGTAATTAAGATTTAAAGGCAAAACATTGGGAACAAATATCGGAAACAGTAGGATTTCCAATATCTAAAGTCAAAGAATTTACATTAAAAAGACTAATTGAATTAGATATATTGGAACATTTACCACAAATAAAAGAAATTTCTTATTAAGCGACAAAAGAAATTTAAAAATTAAAACAATGAATAAAATTAAGGCGAGGAATAAATATTTGTATAAAAAAAAAAATGAAAAGTTTATAATTAAAATCTATTTTTTATAAAATATATATAATAAATAATTATAATTTATCAAAATATGATTATATAATTAATAAACATTTAAATATTCTTAAACTTCTTAAGCTGTTACTGTTTTAGTAGGATTTTATTAAAGCATTTTATTTAATAAATTACCCTTATTATTCAAATTATGGTCTTATTTTTCCAAAGAAACTTACCCCTTTCCATTAAGGGAAATTACTTTTAAAAATTTGGAAGTTAACTAAATCCCGACCAATTATTTTCCTTATGAATCTAAAAATTTAATCGATTCTATACAAAAAGTTTTAATTTTGTAACCATATCTAAAAAAATACACCTCAAAGACCAAATATCTACCTGTGTAGAATATTATCTTGCGCCACCCAAAGGATTTTAGGAGGTCTATACCATAAAGCAACGACTTCATGAGTGTAACTTTTCATCTGAAATTCAAAAGACCTCGTAAATCCACAATTGTCTAATTATACTCTTATTATATGAAAATATATGTATTTTTAGATTATTTTTTTCTAAAAAATAAATTTAATATATTAAAGATTTTTTTACACTAAAAAAAAAATGTAAAAACAATAAAATGCCTAAGCTAATTAAATAAGTATTTTAAGAAACGAATAACATTACCAAAAGCAATAAATATATTCGAAAAATAATTTATGTTTACTAGTCGACATAAACTCTTAATACCTAATGAATTCGAACGATTTTACGTTCCAGCATTTAATAAATTTGATATCTAATATAATGAGCACACAATATATGAAAAATATAAACAATAATATATTTTTATATGTATATAATTCTCGCAAAACAGGACTTATATTTCCTTTGAGTCACAATAAAAAATAAGATGACCAAGACAGAATTGACAATTTAGATTTTAAAATTGTTTTTGAAAGAATTAATAAAAGAATTTTAGAATTTTGTGAAAAATGCCTTTGCGATAATTTATTATACTCAAAACTGCCTACAGTACTGACATAAGCAATTTGCAAATTAAACAAAGAAGTGAGTGTAAATGATAAAAACAACGAAACTGCATAAGAATCGAAAAAAATATTTTCTACAATCCTTATATTGAGTAGTTCAAATATAGACCCTTGTAATTATATAGACTTAATGACATGTATTGAAATTGCGAGGAAAGAAAAAATTATTATTAACTCACTTTTACTTCCTTATGCTGAAACAGTAAATGAATATACTAAAAATTATCTAGTTTAATTGTCGGCATTAACGAACGGGTTCAGTACAACATGTTGTTATCCTAAATAAAAACAGGCAATTATACACCCATAAATTATAATGAATATAATTAATACATTTTTTCTAACAAGTGGAGATTTGGTTTCTTATTTCAAAAGTAATTGCTTTGATAGTGTTAAGTTTAAAGTTAATTGCGTTTGTCATAATTAACCTATTGTCGATTATAAAATCGCGTATATTTGCTCAGTTTGTCTTTTTTGTATTGTAAATAATAAGAATGTTTTAATTGTTCAAATGATTAGAATAATATAAATTAAATGGATTTAGAATTTGCATCGAATTTTTGAATATTTTTTTGTAATAAAATAAAAAAACAATTATCAATATATTTTTTATTTTATTTTTCATAAAATATAAAAATTTATTTTTATATATGAATATAATATAATTTCTTATGACTTCAAATTAATATAAATAAATACAATTAACAATTTTATAGGATTAAAATAAATATATATATATATATATATAAGGGTATACAAATATAATATATTTTAAAAATACTTTTTATATATAAATATATTTATTCTCTGTAATTATTTAATACTTCTTTCTAATTAAATTTATTTTAATGATTTTTAATATAAATTAAAAGATTATTTTCCTATTTTAATTCTAAATTCTTAAACATCATTTTTATTTTCTTTAATTAATATATACCATGATTAATATTATTTTTAGACATATTCTAATATTTTATTATACCTTATTTTATTTTAATTTAAATAATAATCTAAACACTTTATTTAGAATTATTATATTTAATTTTAAGATTATTTAGTACTTTTAAATAAATATTTTTATTAAACATTCTAAACTAATATTAAATTTAATATAATTAAGTAATTATTTATTTTAATCAAAATATTAATTAATAATAATTTTTCTTAATGAATTTAATTAAAAAAAGCCCTTTTTGCCTTTAAAATTAATTATTTTTATTCATAAAATATTCGTTTGCTTTCTTCTACTTCATTAAATTTTTTATTTATTATTTAAATATATTCTTCTATTACCTCAAATTAATAATTATAGTAAATATAGTCTTTATTTAATATATTTTTTTATTATTTAAAGTTATTTTCGATAATATTATTTTATTAATTTGGCTTTTGTGACTATTTGTTATTAGGTAATCAATTTTTTTCGAATAAATTAATTAATTTTTAGGATTAAATATTTTTATGTTAGTTCTTTTTGAATTTTTAATAATTCATATTAAGCCATTTAAATATTATTTTATTGTTATATTTATTTTATTATCAAAGTAGAACCAAATATATTATAATAATAATGAGTTTATTGTCTATTAAATACTTTTTTATATAAATAGACATTAATTTTATGTGTTTTTTAAAAATATCTTTAACTAGTTAATTTTTTAATATTGATTAATTTAATAATAATTATAGTATCTATATTAAATAAACTATTTAATATATATTAATTTTATATTTTTTATGAAAAATTTAATTAAAAAGTAAAGCGTAATATTAGAAAAAAATATGTAATTTATATTTATATTATATTTATTTTGTTTTTAATATAATTATTAATAAATTTTATATCTATATAGTATCTTTGCTATAAAATACATATATATATATATATATATTCCAATATTTTATATTTATTTAATAAATGTATGTGCATTTTTTATGGATATTATTAATTTTTCTATTAAAAAAAATGTAAGTCAACAAATTTTTATACATACCATTTTTTTTATTCTTAAATATTTAATTAATTTATATTTATAGTTTAATATTTTTCTATTGTTAATATAATTAATTTATTTATTTATAGTTATCTATTTTTAATAATAGAATTTAATATTATTTCTTTATATATTTAATTAATAATAGAAATATGTAATTAAAAACATATTACGTAATATAAAAAATAAATTAATATCATTTTTACAAAATAGAAAAAAAAAATACTATTGTTAATTTTATTAAAAGAAAAAAATACATAAATGTGTATATATCAATCTAAATCATTATTAAAGGCTAATTTAATAATAAATTAAACAAAAAAAAAATATGTTTTTATAAATAATATATATTTATTCATAAAAAATATATATATATATAAATTTTTAATTTTATAAAATTACAAAAAAAAAAAAAATACTAAATAAAAAAAATGTCTGAAATATAAAACTTTAACTGCATCTAAAAATTTTTAGATAAGTCTATATAATTAACAACTGAAATATATTCTAAATCCGGCCTTAATAATTCTTTTATTGAAGAAAATGCTAAAAATATAATAGTAAAGCCTATAATATATAAAGTAACAGGTTTATTGGACGAAAAAATCAATTTAACTATATACTAAGCATTAACTATAAATGGTAAAATATAAAACTTAAAAAACAACGTATTATAAAAAACAATTGATACTAAAAACAGATTATTAGAAAAGAGTAATTAAACTAAATAAAATATAATTGCTTAAGCTGATTTATATAGTAATATTTTTATTGATGAAATTGAGGAACAAGTGAGATAATTAAACTAATAAGTAAATAGAAAACTAAATAAAAAATATATTTAAGAAGATGATGAAAATAATAATAAAGAAAATGAAAAATAATAACTTAGATTGAGAGTAGTGAAACTTATTTTTAATTTAAACTAATTGGGAAGGTTGATTATAAATACATATATTGCATAAATTAAAAATTTTCCTAATTATGTTTAAGGATTACCTATGGTATAAAATTTTCAATAAAAATATATATTCAGAGTCATGAATAATTTATAAGTTAAATATAACTCTTCAAAATAAACAGTCTAAGTTGTAATGGAAAATGTAAAAAAATAAGATCTTAAATAAATACTTGCTCATGTCTAAAATAAATATAAATTTAGCTTTGCATTATTTGAAAATAATAAAATTATTTTTAATTTTACAAAAGATAAAATTAATAATCTTTCGAATTTACTTAATGATATTACTTAAATTAGATACAGAATAGGATCTTAAGCTATTATTCTTTATTAAAAATCTATTTAATAAATAAAAAATAGAAGAAATTAGAAATAAATAATTTTTGAATAAAAAGAAAAATAATAGTTATGACGATATTTGTTTATATATATATTAAAATTTAACGAAAAAAAAATATATAATTCTTATATAAATTTAATATAAAAAAATATATTTTATAATAAAATATATGTTTTTATTTATTATAAAAATTAATTATTAATTTTTTTTTATAAAAAAATTATTACTAATTATATAATTAATATCTTAATGATTTTAATCAGTAAAAAATATATATATATTCTTAAAGTTTTTATATAAAATATATATTTTTAATATAAATAATTGTAATTTTATATTACAAATAATTTTTTTTTTAATTTAATTGGAAATATACGTTTTTTTAAAAATTAATAAATAAAATTATATTTCCTTTTTTAAAATTATATTCTAAAATTTATTTTTATAAAAAAATTAATATATTATATACATATATTTCAAATAATTTATTTAATAAATTACTTTACATATAAAAAATAAAACTGTATATTAATTTTAATGATAATATAATTCATTAAACATTTTATAATGTTAAAATATAAACTACACCTTCTCCCCCTCCAAAAGATAATTTATTAGAAACATTTCCATAATCAACTGCATAGATACCTTATTTCAAACCAACAACACTAGAACAAGGAACATAATTATTATTACAATCAAAAACTTTCAATTCATTAATTCCACTACTTCCTGCTAAAATAGTATCATTGTTAATTTTACTATTATATTTTTTTTTTAAAAAAAGTATATTTAAAAAATATAAATATACCTAAATTATGCGGAATAAATATAAACTTATAAATTATTTTAATTAGGGACCCATTCGATATTTTTAAACAACTTCATAGTCTTAATATCCCATAATTAAAGTTAATTATCATTTCTATAAGAACCTGATAAAATCATTCCATTTTTAAAATCTATTGAATCTCCACTACAATTAGGTCCAAAAAGTGTCTAAACGCTTTTTTTCTCTCTAATATCCCATAAATGTACACTTGAATCCCATCCTCCAGATAAGATCAGATTGGAATCATTTTATAAAAACTTTACCGAAAAAACTCTATTCGAATGTCCTGGCCAATTCCAATCTGCCGGCCCAAAATCAATCGAAACACTTTTTGTATCCTCGTCATAAACTTTTACATGAAAATCTTTTCCACCAGTAACAAACATGGAACCATCGTTGTTGTAATCTAAACACATTATACTGTTATTTTAATCAATCAATCTGTGGATTTATTTCCCTGTAGGAGCGTGCCAATGCAATATTGAACCGTCTGAATTGACAGATACGAGGACTTATTTTGTTTTGTTGTGAATAGCAGGGCGCCATCTAATGCATGTGGTGGGAGTTTAAGATGCACCTGATGAACTTTTTTTTTTTTTATAATGTTAATTTTTTTTATTTTTCTTTAAATAAAAAAATACCCTTGTAAATTATGTTCAAGCTTTCCTTTTTTTTTTTTTATAAAATTAATGTTTTTTTATTTTTTTACCTGATTATAAATTGAAAATTTTAATACTTCCATCTGAACACCCTTAGAAAATTTATTTATTATTTAAATAATATTTAGGCATTTTTTTATTTTACCAGCTGCTATAAATTAATCATCTTAATCAAATTTTACGCAAAATACTTCAGTTTCGGGATTACCGAAAAATGTTCGCATAATAAGCTTTATTTTTGAATTTGGATGATCTCCAATACTATTTTATTAAAATTAATTTATATTAAATTTAGGTTGATAACCTCAATTATCCATACACGGTGGTGGATTTATCTTTTTAAACCCGAGTATCTTCATAATTTAATATTTTAGATGGTCTTTTTTAACTATTGACGTTCATTTGTTTTTTAATAAAAACAAATATATATTTTTTTATATGAAATATATTATAATAATAATTTATATAAAATATTTTAAAAATAAAAAAATATCTATAAACATAATATTATATATTTATAATTAATTTAAAAATTATAAAATTATTTATTCTATTTTATGTTTTTATTTAATTTTGATTAATATTTATAATTGTTATTAAAAACCTATTTTTGCCATATTTATTTATATTTTTTAATAATAATGAATTCATATTCTCTTCTTATTATTTAATTTTAATTAAATATATATATATAAAATAAAAATATTATCTGCAAAAATAAATAAATAATTTTTTGAATTTTTAAAGTTAAAAAAAAAGTTTTTTTTTCTTTATAATTTACTTAAATTAATTTAATTTATTATATAAATTTTTTAATTATTTTATTAATTTTCACATATAAATGCATACATAATATTTATATTATTAAATATATGATTTTTTAACTTTTATTAATAACATTAAAATAATAAATATTAAAAAAAATGAAATTTAATAAAATAATTTTAATTATAAGTCTTTCTTTAATAATTTAAAGCACTTTTTGCTATTAATACAGAGTAAATTGTGTTACTAAATGTGAAGCAGAATGTATAAAAGATACTGCCTGTAAAGCTGGTTTGCCTTAGCTCAGATAAACTGTATTTAATTTAATAAATTCAGGAAGTTAAGAAGTAAGATCAGGAAAAGATTACGATTAAATAAGATAAATATGGGCTGATTAGGCAAAAAATTAAAGAGCTATTAGTTCAATACAAGCTACAGCATAATGTATCAGTATGTGTTATGCATAAAATCTTATTTTCATTTCTATGATTCTATTATTATGCATATTAATATGATTTATTTTAAATATAAAAAATAATAGATAAATGTTTTTTTGTTAAGTTGACAAATATACGATTATACCATTTTTATTATATTTATTTTTAGAAACAAATATTATATTTTCTTTTTATGTTACGAATATTATATAATCATTTTTTTAAATAAATTTAAAAAACAATATACTCATATTATATAAATATAATTATTATAACTTATTTAAATATTATAATAATAATTATTTACGTAAATTAAAGTATTTTTTTTTCTTTTATTATAAAAAAGAATTATTATTATTTGATTTTATTATTTGTAAATAAATTTTTGCCATGTCTTTTTTTTATTTTATTATAATAAATAATTTTTTGAATTTATATAACATTTTTAAAATGTTTAATATATTTCATTTATATTTATTTATTTTTTTAATGTTTATTTAATTTTATTAAAAATAACAAATATCAAGTATTTTTATTATATGAAATTTTAATTTTAAAGGTAAAATAAAAATTATTTTAAAAAACACAAAAGAAAAAAAGAAAAAAATAAAAGTAATAAAAAAAAATTTTCTTTTAGAAAATTAAAAATAATATTTAATTATACATTCTAATTTTAAACGATGTATTTTTTTTTAGTAAATATATAATAATTTTTATTATTCTTAAAAAAAATAAAATATATATATAAAATAATATAATATTTAAAAATACAATATATATAAAATATTTTATATATTAGATATTAGTTTAATATATAAATTAATAATATTTTTTTAGTAAAGTTATTAATGTTTATTTGTATAAACAATATACATATATAAGGATAAAACAAAATATAAATTATTATTATTTTAATAACATTAAATAACTTTTTATATATTTTCATAATTGTTTGTATAATATTAAACATTAAAGTATAAATGTATATATTAACTTTATTATTTCTGATTTCCTAAATACCATTATCTGTAGTCAATTCAAACCTATATTTAGAATACGAATTATGTAATTTAAGTCATGAAAAATATTAATTTCAATTTAAAAAATCTTAACAAGGTATTAATAGAGAGTTTTTTTTAATTTGAATTTTCTTTATACTAGTTAATTTCATTCATCGATTTTTTTTGTTTCTCTTAAGTAGAATCTGTATTAATTTATTTTATTATTAACCTATTAGATTTTTAATTTTCAGACATAATTTATTCGTTTAATTAGTTTTATATATTTTTTTCTGCTTATTAACCCATATAAAAGCTTAATAGGAAAACCTTTTTTATTTAATATAGTAATATTGATTTTAAATATTGTATAAAAAATCAGTAGTGGTTATAATTTTAAAAACTTACATCTCTTTTCTTAATTTTTTATATTTTATTAGTATTTCCTTTAGTTAAAAATCTATTTTTTTATTGTTAAAAAACTTTTTGATATTTTTAAAAATTTTGCATAATACCTTTTTTAAATTTACGATATTATATTGAATTTTTAATTTTTATTTCAACATATTTAAAGTTAATTAATAGAATATTCTGTTCTTTATTTATTTATGTTTATTAAAATATTAAATTTATATGAATTAAAAGCATAATAGAGCTTTATGACTAAGTTAAAATAATAGTATTTAAATAAAAAATTATTTTACATTTTAAGAAATACTATCTATTTTATTTAAAAAATTTGTTAAAATATTTAATAAAAAAATAAGATTTTTTTTAATTATTAAATGTCCTATTTTTTTTATTTCTAAATTAATCTATATTAAATTAAATAATATTAATTAAAAAAAATTATTATTATTAAAATATACAATTTTTTTAATATTTTGTCATAAAACAATTAATTTTTTAGTAAAAAAATATATTTTTTTATAAAATTTAAAATATTTTAAATAAATTGAATATTCTTATAAATATACAAATTATAATCTTTAATATTTAAATTAAAAATGAAAAAAAAAACTTAGTATCAAGAGTTTTGTAAAAGCCTAAAAATAAAACAAATTAAATATAATATAATATCACCTATATAATATAATTATTTGCATTTAATTTATTTTTTAAAAAACAATAACATAAATATTTAATTTTATTTAAAAAATAAAAAAAGATCTTTTGAAGATGAAGATGAAGATGATGAGAAGTTAAAAAAGATTAACATCCATAAGCATAAATCTCAAAGAATATAAATATAGAAAAATTGGATACTATAACTAAAGGTAAAAGAGCCTAAAATAATGCAATAGAAATTCAAAACAGTTAATAATTACAATCATAATAATAATAAAATGAATAAGATAATAATTAAACATAAAAGCCAGAAAAAAAACTAGCAATTAAAGAATTCTTAAATTCAAATTCTTCATCAATTTCTACTTCACAACAAAAGCCTAAAAACTTCAATAACCAAAATTTAAATTATGAATTAAATGATTAAACATAAAATTCTTAAAGAAATAATTCCAAAATAAACATTAAAAATAATATTTGTGACAAAAAATCCAATTCGACAAAGGTGGAACACAATAGAAGTAATAATGAAATAAATAATAGCTATTCTATTTAATAATAATCATATATAGATATTAAAATTATAGAAGATTTTCGTTATTAATAAGTCTTTTATTTAATAAGCTTTATTTATTATGCATTTATTTGCTAAAAATTAAAATATCTTTTACATTATTATGTAATTCTGGATTTTATTTTTAAGTTATATTTTAGTTTTAAATAAAAGAATAAAAAGCATATTTTTATGATTTTTTCTTATTATGTTAGTTTTATTTGCTTCATTTTTTTACACAATTAAGAGTAAATAATATCTCATTTTTTATTTTTTAGAATTATTTTATGTATTTATGACTTGAAAAGTTTTTCTTAAAGAATTTAATGTATTTCAAATGTAATAATTAACTCTCAAAGGCAAAGTTTTGATATTTTACTACATTTATCGGCCCTTTTTTTATTTGCGTCTTTTATAAATAACTCTATATATTATAAATAAAATAAACTTATAGAATATATAAACTTGTTTGTTTTTGTAAATTAAAAATAAACATTTTAGTTTGATTTTTTCAGCATTTGTTTATGCTTTTTGAGCTTATTTTTTATAAAAATATTTACTTAATCTTTACTTACTATAGTATAAAAAGTGACTCAGGAATAATTTTTTGAATATTTTGGTGAGTTTATTGATTTGAGTTAATTGGCCGTATTTTAAAATAATGAAAATATAAAAAAATTATTTAATTTTAGTTTTATTTATTATTTTTTGCATTTAGTTTATGGAATTTTATTTATTTTTGTACATGAATAGTTTAGATTTATTGGATTGTTTTTTTTTCTATATGAATTTTCAATTAATAAATTATTCTTTACAGCTTAATATGGTGTAAAAAATGCAATCTTAATAATTGTTATTATATATCCGGAATAATATAAATTATTCTATTTATTCTCTTATTTTATTATTTTGAGTAAAATACCTTTCTTTAAAGTAGGAATAAACCATATTTTTACTATCATTTATGATTATTCTTTAGTTTATTGTATTAATTATTTTGTTTTAGAAACCTTTTAGATAAACATTTATATTAAATTTTACATTTAATTTATTATTTTTGTTCCTGTTGTTAAAGGATTAATTTTGAGGTATTCAGAAATGCTTGAAATCGAATAAGACGAAGAACTTATACTGAAAAAATTAAACGAACATATTGAAAATAAAACAAAAGTAATATAAAAATAAGTAGAATATTCTTTTTATGATTAATTTGAAAGCTTTTTGTTTTTTGTAATTGGTTTTAAGGAACTTTTTGATATATAATATTTTATGGAATATATTTTAATTTCTGAAGGGATTTTAATATTTATTATTATCCTTATTAATATTCATCTTAATGGATTTTTAAATAAAAAAACAATTTTTATTTTAATTTCTTGGATTTGTATTTATGTTTCTTAGAAATTTTTTGATCAATATTATAATTTTGGATTTTTAAGAGTACTTTATATAGCTTCAGCACTTCCTTTTAAAATTTAAAAACTAAACGATATTATTTAATCTATAAATTAGTCACTTTATCTAATTATTTAAATCATTTTAATTTCAATAGGAGCTTATTATATAAATAATTAATAATTTATACTAAC